CAAAGCTGTCCAAAACTACAAAGTGCTTAGTGGGAAGTGGTAGGAAGCCATCAGCAATCAGTCAGTCTGTTCCACTTTCGAGACCGAAGTGCTTCAAGTCACCTAAGGTTATAAGGAACCACACTCGCAAGGTACTCAAGTTAAAGAGACACCGCTGGGCTGAACACAAAAGGATTGGCACCAAATTCCTACAGACAAGAAGCTTGTGTACAAAGGCTTTGAGAGCCGGTCGGCAGCAGCATCAAGTCGGGCTTACAAACATGTTTGTGTCTAAGCCAAGAAGTCTCTTCCGCTACGCTGCTTTATTCCGGCAGGCTAAAGCGCGAGTCTCTCAACTAACAGCGACATTGAAGCAGCTGAGCTCGTGGCCAACCAGTACCTGCACACCTTTTCGTCATCGTCCACCTACTCAGAAGCTTACGGATATCCCACTAACGAAGTAGGACTCTCATCCGTCGACCTAAGCGTTGAGGTAGTACAGCGCAAACTGCTACGGCTCACTAAAGACACCTCTCTGGGACCAGATAAAAACCATACTGTGGCACTGCGGGAGGGAGCTTCAATCATGTCTGAACCTTCAAGTAAGTTATGTAAGAATTCCCTGAGTCAGGGAATAGTACCCTAGTCTTGGAAGCTGGGCCACATAATGCCAATCTTCAAAGGGGGTCAACGAAGCAGTCCAAAGAAATACAGACAGGTGACACTTCTATCCATTCCTTCCAAAGTAATGGAATCGTTAATATACGATGGACTGAGGGATTACCTTACAAAGATAAAATTCTTTGCGCCCCAACAACATGGATTTCGAAAGGGGTACTCCCGCATTACCAATTTGCTCACTGCAGTAGATAGATGGACTAGCATTGTTGACCGTCGAGGACAAATTGACGTTATCTACCTAGACTTCGCTAAGGCGTTTGATCGTGTGAATCACGACTGCCTTATTGATAAATTGAAACTAATCGGGATTCAACCTCTGCTCATTGACTGGTTGTCTTCATATCTACGAGGCCGTTCATTTAGAGTTCAAGTGAGTTGCTCCATGTCTGAAGAAACAATGTCCTAGTGGTGTTCGCTAAGGTTCAGTACTAAGGCCTCCCCTTTTTCTAACATAAACGATTTGCCTCAACAGGTTTCTTCAGAAATCCTTTTTGCCGATGACGTGAAACTCTGGAGAGAAATCAAAAGTGAAGAAGAGTGTTTCCGTACACGAAGACTTAACTCAACTGAGCAGCCGACAACAGGCTGGCATTTAGTCCTGAGAAATGCAAGATGATAAAGTAAAACACTATACATCTTATGCATATGGCATGAAACTTGAGGCGTCACTGACAGAGAAGGATTTAGGCGTCTTAGGCCCTTCAAACTTAAAATCCTATGCCAACTGTGACAAGAACGCATTTTGTGGAGACTTGGCGTTTTTAACTCTTAGACGGATTTTCGGACAATTCGATCGTAGATGCTCCCACCAAATTTTCAACAGCTTCATACGGCCTCATCTGGAGTTCGGGACCATCATCTTCCCCCTTCTCTCCAGAATGACAAACTAAGCTTAGAACGCATCCGGAGGCGTTCGGCAAAATCTCTTCGAGGACTTAGGTCTAAAACACACAGACAGCGACTGGTTGCGCTGGATCTGTATCCTCTGGAATACAGAAGGCTAAGAGGTGACTTGATAATGATACATTTTCAGCACGTCTGGCCACCCACTCCCTCACTTATTAAATCTTATCTGTAGCACTAATCTTAGAGGACACGCACAGAAACTAAGCCTGGAACACGGCAGGTTAGATGTCAAGCACAACTTAAACCCCGGAACGCTCTTCCTAAAGATATGATCCAGACTACTTCATCGGAATCCTTTAGACACTGAGTGGATACCCGCTTGACTTACGTCTAGTATCTGCCCAAAATCAATTGGATTTTCACATTTTAACCACCACTTTTTCCTCTTTCTTTACTTGTACACAGGCTAACAACCACAAGGGGTAGCGATCCATGGACTGTAGACGCGGAAGCCAGTTAAGGTAAAGCTTCTTCTATTCCGTCAACAACCATTTGAAGGAGATGTGGCATCTTTATGTACTTACTCCCAGCTGGCAAACACTTCGGGTGCACTTTGACAGTTTTGGGTAATTCCCGAAATCAAAGTCGAGCGCAGTTTGAAACTTTTAAAGTCGTTTGCAAAATAAACTGTGTTCCGCAAGTTTAAAATCATCAGTAAGTTGATATACATTTACAGATCTGTAAATGTATACGATGTCGTATGCTATGACTAAGCATCCAAACATGCAAGTTCTTTTCGCGTACGCTACTTACTCCAAGTCGTGATGTTTTGTTTGTGAGACTTTGGGCGCACTGTAGACAATTTAAGTGGTTTGGGCATACCTTGACAATTTTGCCAATTCCTGGAAAGGTTTTCGACAATTTTGGGAACGGCGACCCATTGTCTGGAGTAAGCTCAAAGTTCTGACGTTTTTTGCCCAAAAGTCTCAAAGTGCGCCGAAAGTGTTTGCGCCCGGGCTGTTTCACGTCTTAAACTGAATCTCAATAACATCGAAGAGGTCATTCGTCACATGGCATAATGATATATGTCATGCAAATTCTTAGATAGGGCCGTCGTATTTTTAAGAAACGACACTTAAAGTCATATCCCCATACTCACGTAGCGTGGGACAGTACAGAAGGTGCTGCATTGCTGTTGTCTGCCACTCGGTTGCTGAACATAACTTAAGTGCTATTGTTAGGATCCTAATGATCCATTTTAAAGCAAAACATTTCTAGGTGATCTGGAAGCTTTACGCGATTGTTAGCATGACTAAACTTGGCCTTTCGGTTTCACGTTAATCTCAGCCCTTAGTTTTGTAGTATTTGTTTTTCATTAGCTACCTAATCCATCAAGTTAATGGTAACAAGTTTTACTAAAGTGTAAATATGGCGTGATTTCCACTTTCATATGATTCGTGTGCTTGTTGGTAGTTCTGTGGGACTTACGATTTTTGTCAAGAAGTCGAGAAAGTCAAGAATTTATACTGATATAGTCTAAAACTTATGCCCACCTTAATACTAATCCAAAGCCCTTCCTGTAATTCCCTGGACCTAACTTTTCCCAATTGGTCATAGGTCCCTATTATGGCTCCAGGCATTGAAAATCATATGGGTGAGTCTCTTCATTGCTGGTGCTATTCGCCGTCTCCCTGCATCTCTACAAATTAGTAAGATTAAAGGTTGAATCTCTACTATTCAGTTTTCTGAACCTAGCACTTAATTTTAGTGTTCACTTTGACTGCTAACTTCAGGTAAATATTGATTCACCGCAACAGGTATGAATCTCAGTGGATTCCGCATTACATGCACAGTAAGAACTAGAAATTTAGAAATCTTTCTTTTAGGAATGCAACCCCGAATCACTCTCAGTAACGCAGATGTATGCAGTTAATCGTCTTGGGGTTTTCTATAAGCTTTTATTCATATCAATTCATGCTTCATCTACCTTAAAATCAATTTCCGTCCTCTTCTTTGCATGCTGCTATGACGTGTGTCAACTTATTCTAATACATCTCCCGTTAGGTTCTACGTTGACTTGTCCGTTTGTGGCTTTCCAAATGTCAACGAATAATTTGCTTACAATTAGTCTAGGATAGTGTGATTTTTCGGCCCTTCTGACTGCCTATTTGTTAAAGCAGACACGTCCTGCCCGAAGTGTTTTATTATTAGTAAATACCGTAGTTTTCAGCACGAGCAAGATTTAACAGCACGAAGAGAAAGTTAGTTATGTCCTCACTTAAATAAATATTGTGGTTACAACACGTACCCTCTAGAAATGAATGCGACCGCTTTTTGAGAGACAGGGTCTTGTTTTCCAGTTAAGTATTTCCTGTGTGCGTTAATGCTGGTATGTTGTGCAGTCGTTACCGAACCCAGTCTCCCACCAAGCACTATCCCCTTACGTCTCTGGATTTATTTTCGCAACTTGAATTAACTTCTGGTGTCGAAACGTCGTTACCCTTATTTCGGCCAATTAGTGAAACATTTTTTCGAGATATGGCCGCTTGAATCATATCAGAACTCATTGTAAGCAGTGGGTACGTCTTGAAATATCACAATCTACATCTTCATACACTACTCTAATCGACAAGCATGGGCTGGTTCCACATTTCGGTTCAGCCATCCTGATCCTTCTGCCAAATCAATGCTACTTCATTTAAAATTGCCCGTGAAGGTAGGCAGTGGTTCGGTATGTGAGATGTCAAAGTCACCTGATCGGTGAAGGTTCACAACCTCGTCATCTGACTTGTCTTCCTTGTCTACTACTACCCTTGGCCTAACATCAACATTGATCACATGGTAATTCCACCATGAGTAATCAATGCTACAAATGCATGTTTTCGAAAGTCTGTAGTCCTTTGTCCTAATTACCAGTCTAGTCATTGAACGTAGATGACGTTAGCAGGCTGCATGTTTTTTTGTCGTTCATCATCTCAGCCTGGCTCATTGGTCTAGAAAAATGAATTTCGAACACCGTCCCACCCACCAGGGTTTTGACAGCCAGGTTGTAATACTGGGCCTCGCAATAAGTATGGCTCATTGCCTACTGCACGAGTTTGCTACTTATATTTCGATTTCTTTGGTTAGGGAAGTATAGACTTTCTAAACAGGAGCCATAGGTACGTTAAAATTATGGGGGATATAAATCAAAATCCATTTCCAAGTTGGAACGTCCTCACCCGATGTCTTCTTCCATCTTGGGTGATCTACTCATCGTTTGTATTTCTTCTGTTTGACCTCTTCTTTGTGTAAGAGTTTATCACTACTGAGACCTATTTCATTATCTTTCGTTTTATTAACTGCATCTGTGATCTCATTTGAAGTATAACATGAACCTTCATGTACGTATGTTTCTTTAGTTATTTGACATCCTCTTCGTTACTGTGATACTTTTTGCAGCTTCTGTGGTTCAATTATCAACAGTCGTTTATCTTTTTCAGTAAATTCAGAGGATGGAGTTTGATGTCTTTGAAAAGTTAAGTGAGCTGGAGACGGAGATTCACATTTTGAAGAAAGAACTTGAGGAAAAGGATGCATTTATCGAAAATCTAATGGATAAAAACACCGAATTGGAACGTCGCCTGCTGTCCATTGGTCATCAGAACCATTTGAATGAAGGTAGTTCACCGGATGCAAAAGCAGTTGTTGCCGATGGTTCAGATTCACTGGAACCTAAAATATGTGGTGTGGTTCTATAATAAGATTTATATTTAAAGTTTAGGCACTACAATAGCTAATATGCTCAAAGAAACATCAGAGGCTGTTGTACGTAATACCGGTTATACATTTGATGAACGTACTGGTTTGTACTATGATCATAAGAGCGGTTACTATTATGATCCAGTATGTCTTTTATGTTCTTAGCTTTATGCACTAATGGTATTTCAGGAGAATCAGTTATTCTATGAACCTAAAACTGGGACATATTATAAGTATAATTCCGAGACCGGTGAATACACAAATTACACGGCATCAGAAGATGATTGTATAAAAAACAAATTTAAAGAATTCTCGCATCCTGTGTACGCGCATTTACTAAAGGTAAGGAGACCCATCTATTGTCTACCTCGTTAAATTTATGATCTTATGTATGATTTAACTCAATTTAAACGAAAACAGATTGATTGAAAACCTAATAAAAATCTCTTATAATGCCCCAGCCTATTCTCTTTAATTGTTTCAGGTCAGTATTTATCGAGTCATTGGATCATCAGTGGAGATACAGTTGTACAGAAAACAATCAAATCCACTCGAACGAAACAAACATTTGACATTTTATCTCGATCCTTTTACTTACATTCTCTTTTGTTTTCATTACTTTTTACTTTCGGAATATAATTGTTGCGGGCGGTAAATGAAGAAAATGCAAGAACGTCATAGAGAAAAAAACTTGGATGATTATGGTCGGCAATCAAAAACATCAAGACGCAGTCTATCGTCGAGCAGTGATGTTGGGCACCGTAGAAGACACTGGAGTCGTAGTCATTCTGGTTCACGATCGGGACGTTCGTACTGTAGACATAAGCATGAAAGTTCATGTCGATACGACAGACCAGTTCACCAATATTCAAGATGCAGACGAAAATCGCTAAAACGCTCTCATCGTTCTTGCAGTTCACGAAGCGATGAAAGTCGTTACGAACGCAACAAACATCGTAAAAGAAAACATTCCCGTCGACACAGACGTCGATCATCTTCAACTACTGGGTCTATATGTTCATACAAAAGTCGAAGTGAGTTCTCATGAACTTACGTGCTATATGATGGATTTTTCCTCGCTCATGTTTTGTATATACAACATCTTAATTTCAGTCTTTTCTCATCTTTTCACTTAGTCCAAACGTGAACAAGAGAGTTTTCGTTTAAAGTACGTCACTTTGCTTAAGAATAATGCATTTGTTACGTTTTTATTTCTTGGATGTATGTTTTGTCAAGTTCAGAAATCTTTTTTAACCGTACGTGTGATTCATTGGATAGAAAAGTGAGAATCATTACTGTAAATGCACTGTAAAATATTCATTACTATTATCATTATTATATTCAGTGAAATTATTAAGTTATTAAAAGCAAAAGATATTGTGCTAAATTTTTGTTTATTAGGCTGTATTGATTCTAATCTCTCTTATGAATTGATAACTAATCATATTTTGACCGTTTTCTGCAGTTCTGACGTGTATAGTTTGTCATTCCGTAGTTTGATGTCTTATATATGAGATTAGTACTTACGATAACAAGTCGATTCATTCTCTGAGTGCGATAAAAAGAAATAACATGTTAATTGTTACTGAGTTTTTTGTTCATTTTAAAAGCTGGAAATTTATTATATCACCTATCAGCAGATATCTGCAAACTAATGTTAATATTCATTTTTGTTTTACAGTGTTATACATGATCATCACCAATACCTTCCAAACTAGATTTTCTCTGTGCTGAGTTTGGCTTTTTAAGTCAAATTAGCTGTAACTTTCAACTCGGTTACAGTCCGGTGTTTTGTAAGTCGTGAACTGCGTACACTCCTCTGTCTTGTGCAGTGTTATACCCATCGTATGAAGGTTAATAGTACTACGTGGCTGCCCGAATAATCCATAACCCTCTAGTTAAAAGCAGCACCTACAGCAACGATCCACCGTCTTATTTGAACGTACTAGACACTCACTTGTGGTTTGCTGTGTTACAAGTTCAAACTGACTTTGTACTTCACCACGGAGTGATGGACAGTACTTTAGTCCCTAATAAAGTTCTTCTATGGCTTATATATGACTTTTCGCGGTTACCTACTTGCACATCTATTTGTTACTTATCACGAAGGCTGTATATTAAGATAGGTAATCTATTTTCGTAATTCACGGCTTTCCCTGCATTGGTTTATTTGCATATTTTACTACGAATCGCAAAACGTTTTTCGACAAACGAGTCCTATGGTGTTCCCATAAGCAAAATTGTATCTTAACATATTTGATATTACGATGTTGGTGTCAGTTTCTGAAGTCTCTTCTTTTGGTGTTAGTCGATGGTGAAAACTGTCTTCTAAGTAACCAATTAAAAAAAAACTTCAAGTAATCGAGTTTTATTGGTTATCTATTTTGTCAATATAACATGTTGATGTTCTAGCTTTAAACATCACCCCAGCAACTAACTGTATGGAGTTTACGTGGATCAACAGGATACAAACATGAAGAAACCAGAAAAAAACTGATGGGAAAAATACTCAGAATATGATCCATAACTGTTAAATAAATTTCCTAATTAATATTTTCCGCCTTGTGAATTTTATTTTCAGTTGGTAGCTTTATCCAAGATATTGGTTTGCCCTGTTTTCTCAGTAACTGACGTTAGAGAGATGGGAACCTTTGTAGCAAACTACTAACGAGTTTCAATGATACTGATCTCACTGGCCTAGTGGATATCACCATTGGAGTTTTTTAAAGTAGGAGAAATAATTCTACTTTATCGATATTATGTAATCTTGTTTTTCTCATCTTATTATCTCATAACTTGAGCATTTAAAGATACTATTTGTTCTTGTAGCGCGTAGTTGAAACGATCCATCATGTAGTTTAACAATTCCTTCTTGTTTTTCTTATGATACGTGAAATATATTCGTATTTTTTTATAAAAGGAAGCTTTAAAAGATGTAGTCATAATCATATACGTCCTATAAATCTTATCAGAAATCACGATTGTTTATGGTGAAGCTATATCTTTTTGTCATATTGTGTTATCTGAGCTACAAAATGTTCCCCATCTCAGAGTTATCTTTCTGCCATAAGGTTGAGAACACATTTAGCACTAACATTGTAGCGTGTCATTGTCGCATGTGAATACAATTAGTCAGAAGTTCCTAGCTGCTGTCAATTCATGTTTCGCAAGCTGAGAACTTAGAATAGCAGGTTTTGAAATTATTATGGCTTAAATAACAGGTATCCTTTAAATCAAGTAAGTCTATATGAAAAAGATGAGCAATTATGAAATAAGTTTCATAACTTGAAGTCTCCTAAATATACCTAGAGCTTATCTTTATCAAGAATGATAGGTAGTACGTATAATTCAGTAATATGAATGTTCTGATTTCCGAATGATCAGCTGCTTTTATGGGTGATATCGTGGCTTGTGACAGTTTCGTCTCCTTATTCTGGATAGATTCTTTTCGTTAGGATAGATCTCCCCTAACCAGTAAGTAAGTCAGTTGGTATCTGAGTTGTGTTTACTATCTACCTATTGCTTCACTCTTAAGGAAAAAAAGTAGGTCGCACATTGCACACTGAGAAGCAAATAGTCCTTTCACCTATCACGCAAGTAGGTAGCAATATGTTATTATATTGAATTATATTTGCTTCTAAACTTTGCATTTATTTGGTGCTACACGATTAAAACTTCAATCTTGTTGTCTTTTCTTTCATGACCTTAGTACGTGTATATAAAAGAGAATTGATATGGTGTAATCATAAATTGAGTGTTCCTGATCCGTTTATATTGTTGGGTGACTAATTTCGATTGTGACAATTTCGTGCTTTGAAGTAAGCGTATTGTTTTAAAGTATCCCCATAGTGTGATTGTTAGGGCCGCTCGAAGTAAGTAAGACCATAAGGAATTGATAAATTGTTCACTTATCATTTATAGGAATATTGTTTTGGGTCCAATGTGTTTGAAAGGGTAAACAGGTTGATAATTCTACTTGGTGGGTTGAACGTATTATTATCCATCCAAAGTAAGTTTAAAAGCATCTGATCGTATATTTTACAGTCAAACGTCTTCATTCACTACTTTTTCAGGGGTTAGATAAACAGGTATCATCCATAACTTTTGTGCGTAAGGTTAAACCTAGGTTTCTTTATCCAATCAACAAGATAGTATAAAATCGCACTAGTGTTGTCTAAGTCCCACTGGTATATTCGAATTATTTTTAGTTGTAATAGTTGCTGTAAAGGAACCATGTAGACAACTTATTCTTCTTTGTCAAGAATGTGGTAACGTCAAAATATACCCCATCCTTTCCACCAATATTGTGTTCGGTTATGCCAAAGTATTCAGTGACTATCATCCCTTGCTGGCACTTTCTTTTTAAGTATGGTTCGGATTTTCTTCCTTGTTTTCACTATTATCAGTTGCACTAGTTATTTGGACATTAAAATCGGTTTTTGTTTACACGATTTACTTTCTGTCGGTCTAACTTGGGGGCGGATTGTTTTGAAGTTAATTTTAAGATTACGTAATCCTACTGGTAACTCTCAAGTGACTTCATATCGTAGCTAGGTTTTCATTACATGAAACAATACTGACATTTATGTCACTGTCAATTCGCTTGTGCCTTTCAAGAATACTTAAGGGAGAACCTAACCCTTTTTTGTTCACTTAAGCAAAAATCGCCTTCGAAAACAGATTTTCCCAGTTTTTTCAATTGACATGATCCTAGGTCTTTGGTATTCTATCATGAGAGATGTTTGCGATCGCTAACAAAAGATTATGTCGTCATCTTTGGTGGGAATGAGACTATTTTCCGGGGCAGTGTCAATAATACTACTATTAAATGCGTTACACAAGCTAGCATTCACGAGAAAAACAGGTTATTTAATAGTATTTTGAATCCGGAGCAGTAATTCGCGTATTTCATACACGAACCATTACTCACGATAACCTAAATAAGAAAGTAATTGTATCCGTGATTATAAGAGCAAAAAGTCAATTATTGCACTAAAAGTCAAAACATTTCATAGCTAACTCGCAAGCAAACCTGCAAGTTAAACCTGAAAGTCAATGGGAAATAAAATCAGTCAGCAGTGAAGATAAATAAATTTATCTTATGTAGCAACTGCGGAGTAATTAGGACAAATTGCCTTACACCTTGAGTCAATTCATTTCTGCGAAGGTTGATGAAAGGTTTGTCAACAATTTCAGTTAAAGTAGGATCCCTTTAATAAATTTCCTGTTCCTTCACTGAGCATAGCCTGCGCCACAAAAGAAGGATGACAGTTTTCGAAGTGACTTGTTTGGAGATGATCGTTGTGTTTATTTTCATTTACGGGATACATGGAGATATCCTCATTCTTAAGGGCATCTATCGATAATTATACGATTCCATTATTCCGAATGAATACGTAATAGACTGCCTTATGCAAAACCTAAAAAGTCATGTATGTGGGAGGAATTTTTCTGAACCCTACTCAGTTTTTATGTTAAGGGTGCCAAAATGAGTTCACTGTTATGCGTTTGTAACCGCAATCGCTAAATAACTTATTGTATTGACAGAATTCGTACAAGGCGCTGTTTAAAAACAGGGCTGAAAGAAAAGTTTTTTAAAAGGAGTGGTAACTGACTTTTCGTTCGTTATACTTAACTGTGTAACATCGGGCGACTAATGTTTAATCCACTTCTGTTTTATATCTTATGAAGGTCTGCAAGCCGAAGTTGTATTATTTATAATTTATAATTATTAATGAATGTGTTAAGTTAAATTTCCATCTCAGCATAGTTTCGCCTTGGTTAAGTAACCAGCAATGTGAGCGCCTGATTCATTTGTAGTAAACCGTAACTTCGTCGTCAAGGTCTATCGTGGCTATATGATCACTGTTCTACTATGTAGTAAATGTTTCTGCGTCGTCCATGTACCTTATATTGTAGCATTATAGTGTTTTTGCTAAATTTAGTTACTACTGTAAAGTTAGTGATGCTATTTTAAAAGATTTGTATCCCACAGTTGCCCTAGCTAAGTCAATTCACAACAGGTTTCTGTCAA